AAAATATTACCACTATCATTTGATGAGATTGAATGATTTGAATTATCACCAGATATTAATGAGTCATGTTTAGAAGAGTTTGATACATTTGATGAAGATGATGCTCTTGAACAATTGCTTGATGTAGAATAAAGGATTAAAAATACAGAATGAAAAATTGATTACGCAAAATAATAAATCAAAAAATGAAAATTCGAAAAAAACATTTAAAAAAACAAGAAACCAAAATAAACAAAATCGGTTAAAAGATGGAAATTTGAAAAAAACGAACCAATTTAATGAACAATCGAAAAAATTGAACCAATTTAATGAAAAATTGAAAAAATTGAATCAGCTGAAAGATAAACAATTATTGTTGTGGATGATGCTGCTAGCCCCTGTAATATACTGCTATGTGATGTATGGATTACAAATGCAAATAATACAAATGCTAATAGGTCTATTAGTTCTATGGAAAATTTTTGGATTTTTTAGAAATAATAGGCCACACAAAGTTAATTTTTCGTTTCGCATAACTCTCCAACCATTTTTCAATTTTTTCAAAAAAAATGTTTTTTTAAGTCTCAAATTGAGCCAATTATTCGATTTTTGTTATTTATTTTTTTTCATAATTGTATCCGTCACCCGATATATCCTGCAATTATCTGATAGGACCGATAAACAAAAATATTCCGTTAGCCGACCCAATTTTTCAGATTACATGCTATTCAAAACAAAAAATTAACTTAACATGGCATTAGATATAACATAACTGGTAAAACTCGTAGTTAGTGATCATAACTAGTAAAACTCATAGCTAATGATCATAAAGAGTTAAAATATAAATAGCCTACTATCACTTTTGTAAAAAGCAGACTTCTAAACTCCAACAAGATAATAAAAAGTAAACTCTAAATAATAAACTTGTTTATATGGCTACTTATAACTTTATATATATTTGGCCGTTTGCCTCTTTTTAATGACAAATCTTAAGCTATTAATATATAGATTATTAGGCAAAATTTTTATATTAACAATTATCCGGCAAACTCATATGATCATAAATTAATTTCTGCACGTTATTTTTTTATGTAATACGATGCAATCATGTTTATTAAAATTAAAACTCATGATCATAAATTGCCGGATAATGTATACGTATTTTAGCATATAATTTTAAAATTTTATTAAAATAAGTAAACAAATTATCCAACTTATATAATGACCCTTCATGATAGTAATTCATGATCAACCAATCAAAATTGATTATATAAATATACTTCTGTGCTTAATTTACTTGAATGACGTGGGAAATCTAATAATTAAAAATAAACAGAATGATTAAACATACGATCAAATTAAATTAAAAAAAATCTTGGAGTAAATATTGGAATCTGACTTTCTAGGAAGTATTGGTAATGAAGGCTGTTAATGGGTTTGACGGAGCCTACCCTTAAATTGGAAGGAAATGTTGCGATAATTTTTAGTAGACTGGCATTTGTTTAGTATAGTAATATTTTCTTTTGATGTAAATTTGCTTTTGAGCTAGTAAAGATCAGGGTTCGAAACTCACGATAGGGTTTAAGATCCTTACATGTGAAAATGGATAAATATAGCACATGCAGTATTGGCAATTTCTTGCGGCCAAACAATTTTTTTTGGCTTTTGGCCGGCCAAAATAGGCAACGTCCAATGGCCAGGATCCAAACTTCGGCCAAAAGTTTCTAACTTATATAACATTAACCAATCATATTGCTTGCTTTTCTAAATAAATATTTGGCCATTTCGGCCAAATAACTTTTTTTGCCCGATTTGGCCATTGGCCAGCCAAATGGCCAAGTAACAACACTGAGCACTTGTACCAATAAGTAAAAAAAAAAAAAAAAACTCGCCTCTTTTCGACTTCGATTGTAATAAATAAAGTAAATACGTGTTGCATACCTAACGTTCCATGAAGATAATATCCCACATTTGTTTGTGCCCCTTCGCTTAAATCAGCGTTGAGTAGTCCAGTCTCCCCCAGGTTACAACAGCGGCATATACGTACATTTTTTGTTGATCAGCAAAGATCCTGATTGGTTACATTCACTTTAATTCTGATATCTAAACCAAAATTTAATGTTAAAATCATTTTATCTACGTTTTACAACCGAATCAAGACATGATAAACCCGATTTAATCTGAATTTAAAGTCAAATTATAGTAATCGGTTCCGAACTCTAAACCATACATTGTTGTTTTATTTGTCAAATTGGTTCATCAATCGCATAACGAAATAGTTCATCATTGAAAATGTAGAATTGTTAGACAAAAGTAGGTTCGTTAGAGATCACATCACTGAACACAATAATAATTTTTAACGTATAAAGTTGCATGCAGTAAAATTTTGTGATCAAGAATATAGTGCTACCTGTATAACGTGGCTAAGGATAGTGGTACTAGATATATACTTTTAACCATTACTGATATTTAAAGCTTGCGAATAAACGTAGTTCAAGTCATTATTAGTATAAAGTATTTGAACTCGATTGAAAATAAATAAATAAGGGTCCGCTTATTAAATCGAAATAAGATATTTAAAATTAATTTAAATTCTATTGAAATACCAAATGTACATATTTGTACACAAAAATAACTACAATTGCCGTATTTTTTAGAGAACTCTATTTTACTGTAACCCAGGCTAATTATTTGATTTACAAAACTAACTCTCACCCCACAGTCATCCGTGCAAAATCACACAAATATCTCTCATAATTAAAATACTGCAATAGAGACAAGACTTATATCAAAATTATAGGCATTTTTTTTTATACGCTAAAGAATTTATCACCGTATAAACCAAGCAACTCGTCGCAGTTAGTCAGCTTGGTAAATTTAGAAACTCACTGATAATCCAAGATTTGAATATTTTGACCATTATTTAATCAAAGGACAAAATTTTCTTTTAGAATTGTTTCTTTGGCCCCTTGTTTTTCAATTCATCCCCCAAAGTTTTCAATAGTTCTTTTAAATGCTCGTTTTGTCTTCGGTTTGCTTCATGTCTCCTTTTTGATTCCTCCTCAACCATTTTCAGTTTATCCTTCTGCTTTTTAAATTCCTCGTCATGTTTTTCCTTCTGCTTTCTAAATTCCTCGTCATGTTTTTCCCTTTGCTTTTTAAATACCTCGTCATGTTTTTTTAACTTCTCTTCTAACTGCTGAATACGATTCTCAAGAATACTTATCAAGGTTTTTATCGAGTCATTCTGTGAATAATCACTACAAATTACCGTGGATGTTTCAGAAGAGGTTTCTGAAAAGGGCGATGTTTGTGAACTGGGCTTTAATGCAGGCGCAGTCTGTGTATTATCATTTATGTTTTGGGGTTCAACATGTATTTTACTACCAAATATTGAATTTAAGGCCATATAATCGTTTCTTTGATTGACTTGATCTGCATTTTCTTTTTTGTCCTTTCCACAGGATTGATCCAGATTACGCATGGCTTGATCCACAATGTTTTCTTTGTTGTTTTCTTTGTTAAGGTTAATATTTTCTTTTTTACCCTTTCCAGAGTTAGGATTGAAAGAAAGAGCACGCATTATTAGATCAATAACTTTGTTAATGTTTTCTATGTTAAAGTTTTCTTTTTTACCCTTTCCAGAATTAGGGTCGAAAGAAAGACCACGCATTATTTGATCCATAACTTTGTTAATGGTTTCTATGTTAATGTTTTCTTTTTTACCCTTTCCAGAGTTAGGGTTGAAAGAAAGAGCGCACATTATTTGCTCCATAATATATGTTTTATTATTGCTTTCGTTTTTAAAGAACATTAATTTAGGGTTAGAAAGATCGAGTTGGTTCATGATGAAATGTAGAATGAACTCAATTCACATAGGATACGTACGTACGTATTAAAAATTGTTTAGACAATAGTTACAAATTGGGTAATTACGTATTAAAGTAATATAATTTCTATCGTTATTTGCAATGATATCCGAATTGACCCGAAATGAGCTTACAAGATGGGTATTGATAGACGGTTTTACTTATTTTCGCGAGTAATACAGACCAAAAAGAATTTCCGATTTTGTAAATAAACTAAGTGAGTGAAATGAATATTTAGGGTTTGGGTCTTAACTTTAGAGCTTAGAAAAAGATTAAAACTTATTATATGTAAAATTTCATTCCCAACATTTTTTTTAAATAGTGCACCAAGGTTTATTTAAACACTAGTTTTCGCTTTTTTCTTCTTTCGCGCTGATCTGTAATAGTAAATTTCACTCTCTGATTGAGTTTTCCTTTTTAAGAGTTTGTATTGCTCGCTAAAATAAGTGCGTCCGGTATTTTTCCAAAAGAACTTTCCAAAATTTATTTCCATGTTAACAATCCTATTATAATAGTATTTTTGTTCATTTAAAAAAAATTTCACGTAACAAAAAATTCAAAATAATTACTTAGACATCCAGTTTATGTATCCACGGGGATCGGAATAAAACAACCGCTGATTGGTACAAATTCAGCTCCATAGAAGTATTTAGAATTTTCTACTTGCAGATCTTTGCTAAAAGACTAAACAAGATATTAATTGTTTCACACTTTGTTTGCATTAATAATTCTTGAAAGTCTTGGAATTGAAATATCCAGTTGTCGAAAAATCATAAAAAGTCTTGAGATTGAAATACCCAATTATCGAAAAATCATGAAAACTCTTGGGGTTGAAAGATCCAATTATCGTGTCATTAAACGTGAAGACAGCTCGATTTCAATATCATCGATTTTTAGTGAAAGACTTTAATCTGTAACGAATTTTGTGAAGAACCTTTATCATCTATTGAAAGTAATCCTGCATTAAACAGTGAATCAAAATCATCATCTATCATAAGTAATCTGACATCGAAAGATTTAAGCTGATAAAATTTACCACTTTTTCCTTTATAAGCAAATACCATACATAACAATAATTAATATTAGAACTATTTAGGA